GGAAAGGGGGAGGAAGAAAAAGCTAAGCCTGCACCCAGCTTGCTACCATGGCGATTGGCCCAAGGCCAGTAGAGAAGCCAGTAGAGAAGTCAAACGCTACGTTGGAAGAAGACAAATCTCGCATGATAAAATAATAATAACACCAAAAAAAAAAAAAAAAAAATCGTTGAATGAAATAGAATAGTAATTTGCGTTGCCATTGCTGATAGATTTGGCGAGGTATTCCTCCTTGTCTTAAACCAAAAAAAAAAAAAAAAAAAAAGAGTACTAGGTGCTCGTATCAAAGTAATCCTTATCACATTAAGCGAAAAAAAAACACCAACGAGCTTAGCTCAGTTGGTACACCCACAAACTGCTGAAATATAGACTCGATTTCGAATCGAGGTACAATCAGGGTGAAAAGGAGAAGTGACATCAAGCTTCGAGTCGAGAAAAGCCGGCCCGGGGGAGCCTCAGCAAGAGACGGGGCGGGAAAAACAGGAAAGAAGTCAGTGAGCTACGTGCCATGACTAACGGTTACCCCCTGCATCTCTCGTCTTTTTTTTTTTTTTTTTAAGGAACAGTGTCTTTATGACGGAGCCTCGTATCCAATCTTTTTTTTTTTTTTTTTTTTGTACGACCATAACTCGAGCTAAAGGCTCCCCCGGGCCGGCTTTTCTCGACTCGAAGCTTGATGTCACTTCTCCTTTTCACCTTCCTGCACCAGGCAGGGGTGTCGGACTATGTACATCGTCGTTACCTTTTCCGGGCTAGAGTCCCGTGTTTCTAATAAACACTCGCTAAACCCCTGTTATGTGCCACTTTACGCCATAATAAAAATAAAAATAAAAATAAAAATAAAAATAAAAATAAAAATAAAAATGAAATAAAAATAAAATAAATAATAGAGTTTGATCCTGGCTCGGAATGAACGCTACCGTTAGCACAAATATATACTTGACGCATAGCGCCTCGCCACACCACTGTCGAAACTAAAAGAGCACGAATGCATCTTTCACAGTTATTGGTACAGGTGCATCCGTTTGCTTTTCATAGTAACGGATCCATCCTGCCATTCTCTTCTGAGAGTAGATGCCCTCGCACGTTTTTCGTTTCGGCAGTGGTGGGGCCAGGCCGATAGTGACAAGTCTCAGGGGACATCCCGTTCTCTCTCTCTCTTTTTTTTTTTTTCTTTTTTTTTTTTGGGGGGGGGGG